TATATATACATATATGCATATACACATATATTATTTTCCCAGAATTTTTTCTCCCCAGAATTTCCCTCTCAGAAGCAAAGCAAAATCTACTCCGCAAATCTTGAACCGAATTTATGCGCAATTATCAAATATCTGGTGTAAATCTTCTCGATCGGGACTCGCAAGACTTCCGTCTCTACCCTCCCCGCCATTTGGCTACGTTCCTGTTTGCAAGGGACATTGCCGTTTACATTACGCATGTAACTTAGCTGCGTCACTATCGTTTGTCCGCTGCTCATACTCACTTTTGCTTCGTGCTTCATTTCCAGCGACCATAAAAGTGGCATGATGGCGTATTTCCGCGAATCAAAATAATCGTCACTGATAAAACTTTCCCAATTTAGCTTTTCTCCAGCGGCTTTGTCGTTGGTGTTCTGGCACGGAAGTCTGCCGCCAGTTGTCCAATGGAGGCCGCTCTGTTATGTCTTCCGTCCCCCTCCCCATTACTCATGCCAGCAACTGCTCCAGCAAGGTCGAGCAAAGTTGGAAAATGACTTGGTGAGGAAGCGCTACAGCGCCGAAAGAGGTCGCCCCAGAATGGTGCTCATTTTCCAATGACGCGAATAAAACGGTGCCAACGGACGTGATGCCGCCGCACAGTGTCTGCATAGCTGTTCTCGGTGTCCTGTTCATAATGTATGTTCTCGGCGTCCGTGACTGGCAGCTGAAGCCGCGCTCCCGGTGACGGCCGCGCCGGCGTGTCGGCAGGTCTGGAGACGCCGCGCGGTCGTCACGTGACCGCCCTGGTCGGCCGGGACGTGGTGCTCGACTGTCCGCTCGTCTTTCCCCGCGGCGCGCACGTGCCCTACGTCATCCAGTGGAGGAAGGAGGCGAGTTTGGCGCGGCCCACCCCCGCCGAGCCGCGCTGACGGCCGTTTTATCACGGTCGGATACGGCTCCAAATGAGCCGTGGCCGCGGACGAGCGGCTCGGGATGACGTCAGACGTCGGCCACCGACCAATGGCAACGCCGCTCTCGGGCCCGACCGAGTCAGCAGATTTAGGCTTCCAGCAGTCGTCAAAGCCTGTCGGGCTCTTACTAGCAGGCTCTGGTTGCAATGGGAAGGAATCGAAGTGGGTTAATTGCATCTTAGAAAATCACAGACTTGCAATGAATAGGACTAACTTTCTATGAAGCGTGGGTGTCATACACTTACGATATCAAAAGGAAGTTAACATTACCTTTATACAGCAATTATATGCGCGATATTCGTTAATTAAGTCACATTTTTGCATTTTTACGCATATAATCATCGAAAAGAGGTCATCTTAATTCCCTTTTCATACTTGCCATGCCTTACATTGCACATGACTGTACCAACTTAGAATCACTTACAACATCGACTTTTTGATATTGTGGTGAGTATGCACGTCACAGAAATGTATGTGACGTGGCCATGTAAACCCAGCCAGCATGAGACGCGTCACCGCCTTCGCCAGCGCAGGACGGCCCTTGCGACCACTGTTTATTCCGCATCCGTAGCGCCCAAACATGCGTGAAAACGCTCCGATATCCCAGCATACATGGAACATTCCGATATCCATAGCATACATGGAACGTTCCGATATCCATAGCATACATGGAACGCTCCGATATCCACAGCATACATGAAAGCGCTCCGATATCCCAGCATACATGGAACGTTCCGATATCCATAGCATATACGAAAGCGCTCCGATATCCCAGCATACATGGAACGTTCCGATATCCATAGCATACATGGAACGTTCCGATATCCATAGCATACATGGAACGTTCCGATATTCCCGCACGTGATTCGAACACTTACTGATGTCATGTTACGACACGCACACCGGTTAACCTGTGAAGCTCGGTCAAAAGCGGACAGGCTACATTTTTGCTGCCTGTATACATGACACAGTAAAGCTGACGCAAGACAAAGCATGTCTCGTAAGTGATCTTCATCTGACCAAGCAATATGTAATACGAGGTCAGCTGAAGCCATTCCATTAGCTTACACGGCTGTGACTTTGCATACCACTGTACTTACGGTCTCCATGTACTACGTCAATGTTAGCACACTGTGGAATATTTACTAACATTAACTTGGGTAGTTTGTAACATCTGACCTGAGGTGAACTTGGCCTGACATGACCTCTACGTTGATTCTACAACAGTGATGGACAAATACGACATCAGTACACTGTACGACGATTGCTGACAACTTCGTCGATTTTGAAGACAACAGGACATGATTTGAGTGACCCTGACACTACCATTGCGTGCAAACAACTCTATATCATGATATGACTCGCTTCAGGGCTGATTCGACGTCGTTTTCGAACTTCCATCTATGTTGCCCTTGGAGCTTAAGCCCATCAGAAAAAATCACAAGCAGTGGTGACACCGTGAGTCATGGCATGATCACCTCACTCCTGACGAGTCACTCGGGAAGAGGATCTGATAAGCGGACACAGAATCCAACACAACACGCCGATAGGTGATGTTCTCTCCGCTGGGATCCTCAAGAACAAGGTCATTTGTCAGGGATCTGGCCACGCTAGCTGGCTCCTAAGATTTTGGATCAGCTGTAAACACTTTTAAACTGAGACAGCCCGAATGAATCGTGATGCAATGAAGTGTACGGGAGGCACATCTGCCAATTCTGACGAGTGTTGCGACAAACGTCCCATGGATCGTGTCTGAACCATTTTTGTTCTCAAATTTATTCGACATCATTACCGGCAAGGAATATCTCCAAACAACGAGCGTTAAAACAAACACGGCGTCACCGCAGTGCCTCATGATATTGACCAATGGGCGTGATATATGGCACTGTATGAGGTCATGCGTGGTCTGCTGGGAAGTTATAAACTCACAGTGTCGGAGGTATGCAAAACAAACCTTGAATGGGCGGAGAAGGGGCTGCTGCGTGCTTCGCTAAATCATTGCCACGAAATGGTAAACATCACCAGCCAGAAGGCTAGCTAATGGAATGATGAGTTTATTTATAGTATGATTCTGGCGGGTTTTCTTTCGGACTGCATGTGGCTTGTCCGAGCCAGTGATATTTGATACAGCCTCTTATAAGCTCGGATAATTGTAAAATAGCGTTTGTTGGGCATGGTTTCAAAATGCCTCTGAAAGCTATTTGGTATAGACTTTGCATTTTTGCTACAGACAGCAGCCTTGCTTAGGTACACGTACATGACTAGTAATTGTTAAGTATAAAGGCTCCCAACTTATTATTACGAAAAGCCCGGAGCTCAAGAATACTCGTTTATGTTAAATGTGAAGCATATGCATCTACTATGAAGCAAACGTGGCATGGTGAAAATTACGCGTCTTGTTAAAAGTGGGTACCAGGGGAAGTGACTGCCATTTTCCTAGGGGACAAGCACAGCAAATCTGGGGATCTCCATACCGAACTAGGTGTAATAGATTGTCTCGGATTTTGCCCACTTGTTCTTTTTCAAAGAGACCTATTGGTATCTCTTGCCCCTTATCTCCTAGACCGCATACCTCTTTCACCTCCCAACTCTTAATCTACTCTTTCTATCTTACATCATACCTGACCTCTTGTCTTATCTAATTGCTACCTTTTTATGTTATGGATTGGATCAGGCGATTACACAGCACGGATTGGGAGTGAGGCTGCTTTGTTCATCTTACAAAATATCCTCTAGCATAGTGGGACCCCAGGTCCTTAGAATTTGTTGGTCTCTTCTCGGGCTTCCTTTGTTTTTCATGGGCCTCCTTTGCATTGCATATAATGGATTTTCCTTTCATAACAACTCGGCGCTGGCTTTCTAGTATAGGGACAGTTATTGTTTTCACTTTTGTGTTAGATGAAATGCTCCGTCTCCGTCATTGGAGGCCTTCCGTCAGCATGGTGGCGGCATCTGAAGTTTCATGGAACACAACATGTATATATATATATATATATATATATATATATATATATGTATATATATATATGTATAGATATATCTATATATATATGTATATATATATGTATATATATATATATATATATATATATATATATATATATATATATATATATATATATATGCACATATATCGTTTAAAAAACGGCGCTGTGTGGCCTGCCCTCTGCCCCACCCCTGGTGGTGCACCCCTCGTGGGTACCAGGTTTACTTATTGTGCCCCGGCTGTCACGGCCGGTAGCGTTAGGCTACTGCGCTTAACTGAACTGCCAGCGGCGGAGCTCCCGCTAGAGCGCGTCTGGCGCTCCTGCTGACGGCAGCCTCCCTCGTGCCCGCCGAGACAGGGTCTGCAGCAGCCGCTCTACATGTGGTACGACGGCTACCCGCCACACGTGGCCGACAGCTACGCCGGCCGCGTGAGCCGCATGGACGTGCGCAACACCCGACACGGACTGGCCTCGCTCAACATGACCAACATCACAGAGGCGGACGACGGCTGGTACGAGTGCGTTGTCCACTTCCTCAACCGGAAGCCAGCCGTGCTCGGCAACGGCACCTGGGTCCACCTGGATGTGCACGGTGAGAGCGGACTCTGTCTGGACTAGATAAGATGGAGTGAGATTGGACGTGTACAGTAGACGCCTGGGTCCACCTGGATGTGCACGGTGAGAACGGACTCTGTTTGGACTAGATAAGATGGAGTGAGACTGGACGTGTACAGTAGACGCCTGGGTCCACCTGGACGTGCACAGTGAGAACGGCCTCTGGACTAGATAAGATAGAGTAAGGCTGGACAGGTAGAATACACACCTGGGTCCACCTGGATGTGCACGGTGAGAACGGTCTCTGGACTAGATAAGATAGAGTAAGGCTGGACAGGTAGAGTACACACCTGGGTCCACCCGGACGTGCACGGTGAGAACAGACTGTCTGGGCTAACTAAGGCAGTGTGGAATCGGACGTGTACAGTAGACGCCTGGGTCCACCTGGACGTGCACGGTGAGAACGGACTCTGTCTGTACGAAGCAAGATAGAGTAAGACTGGACAGGTAGAGTAGACACCTGGGTCCACCTGGACGTGCACGGTAAGAACAGACCGTCTGGGCTAACTAAGACAGTGTGAAATTGAACGTGTACAGTAGACGCCTGTGTCCACCTGGGCGCGTATGGTGAGAACGGCTTTTATCTGGACTAAGCAAGGTAGAGTAAGGCTGGACAGGTAGAGTAGACACCTGGGTCCACCTGGGCGTGCACGGTGAGAACAGACTGTCTGAGCTAACTAAGATAGTGTGAAAAGTCGAGGCGTGAGCGGTGAAGCGTCTTTGGACGCGCATGGTAAACAACTGGATCCGGCCTAGACGTGTGCGGAGAGAACGAGCTCAGATTGGCTGTGCACCGTGAGAAACGGGTCAGCAGTGCGCATGAACTCGTGCGGCAAGGAAGGGCTGCACCCAGACGTTTCTACAACAGCAGAGAATCAAGTTCACCTGGATGTGCTTGGCGTGAGCTCGGCGTGCACCATCAGTGCATTGTGGGATTAGCACGAAGTACGATTTACGTGGTAGCAGTGACATCGCGGTGATCGTCGCAGACACCTAGCGCTCAAAAAACGACAGCGAAGCGGCAGCACTGAGGCTAGCGTCTATCATTCCCCGACTACTCCTCCCACCTGGGAGACCTAGTTGATATCTTTATTCGGGCTGAAGTCCAGCTGGGGAGTTGCTCTCCACTCTCGGGTGGAGCCCAGACACGGGCTTCAGCTGGGACGGGTGACCCCCCGGCCACGGACGTTCCGAGGCCAATCGGCCACGGCTGGTGACAGCCGGTGGGACGGGTGGCTCGCCGGCCACGGACACTCCGAGCCCAATCGGCCACGGCTGGTGACAACCGGTGGGACGGGTGACTCCCCGGCCA